AGGAGCAGGAGGGAAGTGTAGCAAGTGCTTAGACGGAAAACCCATTTCGTGGATTGGAGGCAGGCCTGGGAGGAGGTTCCACCGAAGGCTGCCAGCATCCTCTGTGTTTAATGCATTTTCTCTTGTGAAAGCACAGTGAGACAAACCACTCCTGCAAAAGAGCGGATTTCCAGGGTCCAGACCCACCTGCATTCAGATCCTGGCGCCATCAACTAGCTGTTTGACCCTGGGCAAGACACTTAACCTCTCTGATTCTGTTCTCATCTGGAAAGAAAAAAAAAAGTCTATAATAATACCCGTCTCCCAGGGTAGAGAAGATTAAATCGGGTAAAGTTTGTGAAACCTCTGGTCCAACACCCACTCAGTATAAGCCAGTCCTTTTTCTCACTTTCCCTCCAGGCCCTTGCCAGAACTGAGATGGGGCCCCTAGAGCTTGGGGGGAGAAGGGTGAGCCCTCCTCTGGCCCAGGGTGGGCAGAGCCAGAATGGAAGATGTTTGGTCGGCCCTGGAGCCTCGGGGTCTGCTTGACATCTCCAGGCTTAAATAACCGTGCGCCTTTGTTATTCGTCGGCAGCAAAGTGGTTCGTTACGCCTGATTGGTCTAATTGCTTTGAAATGGGATATATTATCTATAATTATAGAGCTCTAGGAGGAGCCGGCCGGCCCCCGCTTTCATCTTCCCCAAGTGCACCCTCATGTCGCGATCACATTAATTTGGGCCATTTGAAAGGGGGAGCTCTCCCCCCAACCCCCTCTCACGGGTGTAGCCCCCTCACCCCCTTACGAACTTACAGATACAAGGAAGCGCCGGCCTGAGCAAGAGAAAGAAGCGAGTGGAGGAAGGGTGAGAAGGGACATGAAGAGGAGCCGGCTGGTCCGCCTCTTCCAGGCGCTGCGTGGCACCTACCGCACCTGGGCAGTTCCACTCACAGGTCGGGCCCACTTCCGCGAAGGAATCGGCGAGCAGAAAATATTTTTTACAAAGTAGTTTTTTGCTTTTTGACTTCGCGCTAAAGAAGGGCACCAAAGCTCTTTTTAAAAAGCTTAAGTTCTGCCTAGATCCAAAATAGAAAGTGTTTTGCTGCGGACTCCCTGCAGTTCCCAGCTCTTCGGAGCCTCCTCGGGAAAGCTGTGAGACCCTCCTCGAGGCCCCCTCAGTGACTCCCCGACAACTCCCCAAGCTCACTCCCGGCTGTTCACCGCTAGGTGACAGGGGCCAAAGGACTGGAGAGCGCGGGGTCGGAGCCCCCCCTCCGCAGGTTAGGAGATCCCAATGTCGAGTCTGCCCGTCAGACCCCCACCCCACGCCCCCAAGACAAAATACCTCTCGCTCTCCCCCGCCGCCGCCCTCCTGGAGATTGGTGAATTCCCACCAAAATAAATCGTTCCGGGTAATCGGTTTTCATAGCACATTCATTCTATTAAAGAGGACTGTTTGGGGCTCGCTAATTGCCGGGGGACCCCACTGAGCCGCACATTTTTTAAAATGCACGCGGAATTCCTGGGTAGAGGCCACAAATGCATTGGAAAAGGGGGGAGGGGCGTAAACAAAAACCCGACGGAGGCGCAAACGAATGCCGAAGTGCGGGGCCAGCCTGCAGGCTCTTTCAGCCCTTGCGACAATACCCAGATAGTGACGGCGGCCTTTTACATGCCAGCCCTCTAAAAGCTCATCCTTGTCCACTAGCGGGGAGTCTAAAAACCGCCACCTTTCCTCCGCGGCCGCACACCCTAGTGAGATAGCCGTCTAGGGGGAAAAAAAACAACCCCACCAGCAGCGGAGCTGCCCGAGAGTGGACGCAGGACACTCCGTCTTTAGGCTCCGAAATGCTGCTGCGCTTTGTGGGGGGCTTGGGGGAGGGTGCTTTCTGAAGTCCGGGAGCGAGGGAGATGGGATCAGCACAAGGGGAGGGGAGTAGAGCGCGCGAGGCTCTAAGCAGAGCGCCAGTCCCGGGCTTTATCTGCGGCGGGCCAGTCCTGCCCTTGCCAGGCATGAATTACAGCCGGGCTTTCTCCGCCGCGCGGAGAAATGCGGGGGCAGAAGCGCCCAGGGGTTAGTGCTGGCGGCGAGATAACAGGCGCAGCGCGGGGCCCTGTCGTCTCACGGAACCCCTCATCCGGGAAATCCGAAAGGCCCAGCAAAACAAACGCGGAGAAGGCTCCCTCTCACTGCCCCCAAACGTGTGCCTTTCTTCCCGCGGGAGGAGCACGCCCCGAGAGACACGCATTTTCTTTTTTCTGAACCTCTGGAAGCGCGGGCATCTCAGCTACAGGAGAGGGGGAACCCCGCGCTTGAGCAGAGATTCCACGTGGGATCGGCTCCGAGCCCCTTTCCCTACGCAGACACACTCTCCCCGCCTTGCAGCGCATGCACGCGGCCAACCCGCCGCGCTGGGCAGGAGAAGACACCAACCCAGACCGAACCTAAAAAGATACCATGGGGTTCGGGACGGGCTCGGCATGCCTCGGGGAGGGCAGCAGGGCCAGGGGCTGCGGGCGCAGGCGGTTTGCTCCCAGGAGGAGGGGATGCGACTTCAAGGGCCCCTGCGCCGGCAGCTGCCTTTGATCTGGCCGCCGCTGGCGCCTAAAAACAACATCCTCGTCTGCCTCTTAGGCTCGCTGAGGGATCGTGACAGATTGTTTATCCCCGCAATTAGCGATGTGGCCCTTATCCCTCCGCCCGGCTGCCCGGCCCCCGGCCCGTGGCCGGGCCTCACTGCGCCGGCCGCCGGAGACAGCCTTGAGACCCGTCTGCGCCGTGAGGCTCCCCTCTGGCGGTTCAAGACCCTGTTCCACCCTAACGCAGGGGTTCCTAGCTGCTGATCTCCAAATGGGTCGAGAGCCCCAGAAGTTCCTTTCGCTGATGTGCATTTTCTTACGGAGAAAGTACTTTGTTATATCAGAGTGATCTGGGAGCCAAACATTTTGAGATGGGAGAAGAGGGCAAAATAAAACAAGCGCCATCCGAGAGACACACTGCTCGCTTTTGGAAAGTTGACCTACAAAGAAAGCCCAGGGACCTCGGTTTCCTCTCCCCCTTTAACCCGAGTGCGGAGTGAAAGAAAGTACGGCTGGGCTTTAGAGGGGTGTTGGTTCCAGCGGCAGTTTAATTGGCAATGGGAGCATTAGAAGTTCGCGGTGCGACTGGGTTGCCAGCGAGGTGTCTGGCCTACAGCCTCTGAAGTCAGTTGGCTCTGCTCTTATGGGGTTGTACGGACCTTCTCTCACCGTACCCTCAGGGACACCTCCGGGCCTCAGTTTCCCTGCCTGGTGGAAGGACTCTATTCATCCTTGCCCCCAGGGGTACTGTGTTTAAGACAGGTCACGTCGGTGCACCGTGCCTCCAGACCGGTCCTTCAGGAGAGCTAGAGGCCCCAAGTCCCCCAGTGCTTGTGGTGTAGTCTTGGGAGGGTAAGAAATCTGGAGAGGTGGCGTAAATTTCGAAGATGCAAGTATTCCCGAACCCTCTCCAAGGCCTTAACGTATCTTTGGAGCCTGTGGACAGATGGGAGGCTGCCGATCTCTCTGGCGGCCTCAGCCCGACCCCCTCCCGCCAGACCCCGGACGCCGTCCGGGTAATAAAGTTCCCGCTCTAGTAATTCATTTTCCTTAATCTGGACGCTCCTAATCTACAGCTTTTATTGCGTCCAGTTAAAAGGAGAGGGAATTCGCTGTCTCTCCGCGCTGGGATAATTACCCCTAAATGGCCACGGCAGCCCCTGGTGTTTCCTGGAGATTAGAACCCCGCAGTCATCAATGGCCGGTCCTGTAGAGCGGCCAATCACCGCCGCTGGCTCCCCGGGAGCCACCGGCCTGGGCCCGGGATAAGAGGCCATAAAGAGAAGGCGCAAAACACCGCTGAGCCCCGACCTGAGTTTGCATAGATCTTATATCTCTCCACCCGCAATTTATTCTCCTCTACATTATTAAATATAAAAAATAGAATCACGTTTCCTTCGAAATTGTCAAAATAAAAGTTCTCAAGCCCAGCATGCATCCAGGCACAGTCCTCTTTTCCCCTGGCCCCCTTTCCCAAATGTGCCTCCCATTCTTGATGGGAGACCCAGAGATAGGGACCTGTTATTGTTTCCGCGGACTCGCAGTTTGGGGTCACATTAAGGCCAGATCAGGGTTTTGTTGACGTTTCTGTAGGTTTATTTCAGTAAGTTCTGTATTAAAAGGGCCGAGTGGCTCCTTCTCCGAGCTGGTCGCTGGTGTAGGTTGTAATCCTCCCAAGAGTTCACAGCGGGAAAAGTACACATCAAGTATGAAAATCGATTATCTATTCCGGACAATATTATGTCTCTTATTCTTAGCATCCGTAGTACCACAGTGAGTGACTCTAGGAAACTCCAATCCAACTCAGAGAAAGAAACAAAGGCCCACTTTTATGTAGAGATAAAGTTTTGAAGATTGAAACAGGAAGGATATGAAGGTGTTTCAAAAAGAATTAATATGATGTCTTTCTACTAGAATAAATAACCGTGCAGATTTTTTAAATTATAAAAGTAATGTCTAAGAAAGGACCTCAACTCAAAATACTGTGGTAGAGAAGAGGGGAGGCAGATAGTGGAAGGAGGCAAAGAGAGACAGACACAGCCACTGGCTGAGAAAGGTAAGAAGCCGTAGAAAACAGAAAGAGGAAAGGTGCAGAGAGAAAAAGGCAGGCTTGGGAGAGAGGGGCGATAAGGGAAGGGAGGAGAGAGCAGGGCAAAGAGAAGGAACTAACAGGGGAAATTGCACCAGGAACCCAGGAAGACATAGACCTAGAGGGATGCAGGCAGAGGGCGGCCCGGCTCTGGCGCGAAGACGTTTCTCGCGGGCCCCCTCCCACTCCTTGCGCTCTGGGGGCCGGGCTGGGCCCAGAGCCCCAGAGTCCGGCGCGCCTCGGGGCCAGTCCGCCGCCGCGCGGCCCAATGGGTCGCGCCGGTCCCGCCCCCTCGCGTGCTGATTGGCTGCTGCCGCGCTGGCCTCGCCTTATTAACAAGTTCTCTGGGGAGCCGCGGCCCGACCCGGAGCCGGCGAGTGTGGCCGGGAATTCGGCCTGCGCGGCGGCGCCAGCAGACAACCAGGCCCCGAGCGCCGGGGCTGGCCTTCTAGGGAGGGGCGAGAGGCGCGCGCGGGAGGGCCAGCCCGGCCTGGGCGCCGGGCGCTCCCAGAGGTCGGCCGGCTCCCAGCCCGCTCAAAGCCCATGCCCGGCGGCTGGCCCGTGCTGCGGCTGGAGGGGGGCCCGGCTCTGCATGGCCCCGGCTGCTGACATGACTTCTTTGCCACTCGGTGTCAAAGTAGAGGACTCCGCCTTCGGCAAGCCGGCGGGGGGAGGCGGAGGCCAGGCCCCCAGCGCCACCGCGGCCACGGCGGCCGCCATGGGCGCAGACGAGGAGGGCGCCAGGCCCAAAGTGTCCCCTTCACTCCTGCCCTTCAGCGTGGAGGCGCTCATGGCCGACCACAGGAAGCCTGGGGCTAAGGAGAGCACCCTGGCCGCCTCCGAGGGCGCACCGGCGGCAGGCGGCTCCGTGCAGCCCCTGAGCTCGCGGCCGGGGTCGCTGGGCGCCCCGGACACGCCGTCCTCGCCGCGGCCGCTTGGCCATTTCTCGGTGGGAGGACTACTCAAGCTGCCGGAAGATGCTCTCGTCAAAGCCGAGAGCCCCGAGAAGCCCGAGAGGACCCCGTGGATGCAGAACTCTCGCTTCTCCCCGCCCCCAGCTAGTGAGTAACTTGAAAGCAGAGGGCAAGGGAGGGAGCCGGGTTGCGGTGCGGGACCCGAGGGCGCCAGGCCGCGCGCCGGTGCCTGCTCGAGACTCCAGCGTCTGCGTACCTGCAGCCCGGCACCTAGAGGCCGTGCTGCAGATCCGCTGGCGGGCAGGCCGCGGTTTACGCCTCTCCCCACTCCCACCCAGGAAGAGGGGTCGAGGCCTGGCTGAGGCCCAGCCCTCTGTCCACTTTCGCGAGTTCCTCGCCCTTGGCCAGGAGACGCTGAGGTTGGGAATTTACTTATAGGGCACGGGGGTCTGGGCAATCTCTCCTCTTGCCCCCACCAAACGACCCCAGGAGTTTCCTCACTCCCCTATCTGACCCTGAGCACTGTTACTTCACACTTACCCCAACGTGTGGGTCCGAGGGGTGCGGAAATCTTCCCTGCGCGCGGAGTTTCACTTTCTCGTAGAAGAAGCCTGCCCTCCCCCCCATCAAATTATCTTTGCCCAAATGTTCTGGAGCTCTTGCAAAATTTCTCCTACCCCCTGCAAATTTCAGGCCGCTGCTTGGTTCTCTGGGAGGAATGGATCATTTAGGGGAGGGGGCAATAGGGTTCCAGCGAAGGGGGCGGGGCACCAAGTCAATTAGTGGGAGGCGCCCCATCGGTGAGGTGGGAAGCTCCCAAACTCCTGGGACTGGAAGGTTGAAGCTGACTCTAGCCGTCAAAGGCCCGTTGGGGGTCGTTTCAAGGCCTCGCGGTCCCCTGGCTTCTCTGCCCCAGAGAGCACGCTCGAAGATATTTCAGGAGCACGGGAAATTCCCAAGTTTTCCTCGTTTCCTCCGATTATTTTGCGCGGCATAATAGCAACTCGAATTCAATGGCGTGAAGCTGAGGAATGATATTTATCTGGGGATTAAACGTCTTTGAAAGGCCAGCCCCTCCCTGGACCTAATGGCCGGGAAGGTTGCTCACTGCTGAGCTGCCCCTGCCGAAGGGAGAAAGGTTTCCCTCGGAGCCCGCCCAGCGGGCGGCCGGACGGAAAGCGAGTCGGGGGTCACTGCTTCCCGAACTCGCTAAATGGCCTTGATCGGGGAAGGAGGAGGCATGTTAACACGAGATTTCGTTGGACTCACTTCCTGGTGGTCGGAGGGCCTAAAGAATAAAAAAAAAAAAAATAGAAAGAAAAAAAAATATGCATAATTAGGCAAAAACCCGCATTGTAAAACATTCTCGATTTGAATTCATCCCCGCCCCTCCCCCGGGGGAAGCTGCTGCTTAGGCAAAGCGTCCTTTAGGACTTGGGAATTTTGTTAGGGCCCCGACCCCAAAGTCGGCGCATCCCCGAAGTCCTGAGAATAATTTGTTCCCTGTTTTATCGGCTACAGCTGCCCAGAGGGGCAGGCGCTGACTGGACCAGCCGACCGAGTCCAGCACCTGCGGGACCCCTCTGCCGGGGTGCTAGCTCCCCGCCCATCCAGGATGTATACATTCTGAAGCACTAAGAGAAAGACAGCTCAGCACTGTTGATCTGAGACTGAGCTACAGGTTGAGGAGAAGCCTTTGCAAACCGCCCCCCACCCCGCCCCCGCATATATTTGAATGTGACCAGAGAGGCAACGGGTGGCATTGGGAGAGGCCCAATAGACCGTTGAGACAATCAAGAATCCTCATTAGAATGCAGTCTTCACCCATGGCCCTTGATATATTTAATAGACTTGGCCGTGGGGCAACCTTCCTGACAGCGTGATGCCCAGCGTTGCCCCAGCTCCGGTGCCCTGGAACTGCCCTTAGAGCCGTGTAGGAACCCGCTGTTCCAAGGGAAAGAGTGTGGGCTCTGGAGGTCTGGATTCTGTACTGCGCAATGGCCTACCTTAGCGCCAGCACTTGGTGGGCACAGATAAACCTTCGACCAGCGCATACAAGTAAATGTGATGTTCCCCTGGGGGCAGCATCTTTCTGCCTGTGTCATTATCTTCATTCACATCCACCGTCCTGACATGCCTGGCCAGGGACAGAGGCCCTGCACGCAAGGCCTTTTTAAGCAGCGCCGTCTAGTAATAAGGCAGGTCCACCTCTTCACAATTATGTGGGCCTTGAACTCGGTTATGTTTCACCTAGAATCTTAGTTTACTCATTTGCAAAAAGCAGCAAGAACATCTACCCCGAGGGGGTGTGGGAATTTGAGAAAGTATTTTCCAAGTGTCTCCCACAGTGCCTGGTCCCAAGGAGCTCAACGGAATTCTTGCTGCTTTATGGACACAGTAGGCGCCACGCCGCTCTCTTAACCCCCTGCCCTTTTCTCTCTCGGCCCCCTAGGGCGGCTGAGCCCCCCGGCCTGCACCCTGCGCAAGCACAAGACCAACCGCAAGCCGCGGACGCCCTTTACCACCGCGCAGCTGCTGGCGCTGGAGCGCAAGTTCCGCCAGAAGCAATACTTGTCCATCGCTGAGCGCGCTGAGTTTTCCAGCTCGCTCAGCCTCACCGAGACGCAGGTGAAGATCTGGTTCCAGAACCGCCGCGCCAAGGCCAAGAGACTCCAGGAGGCAGAGCTGGAAAAGCTGAAGATGGCCGCCAAGCCCATGCTGCCACCAGCGGCCTTCGGCCTCTCCTTTCCGCTTGGCGGTCCGGCGGCGGTAGCTGCTGCAGCGGGCGCCTCGCTCTATGGTGCCTCCGGCCCCTTCCAGCGCGCTGCGCTGCCCGTGGCGCCCGTGGGACTCTACACGGCCCATGTAGGCTACAGCATGTACCACCTGACATAGAGGGGCCCAGGGTCGCCTACCTGAGGTGCCAGCTGGTCCTCTAGCGCTGGTCTTTGGCAAGCACCAGGAGCAGACCCCCAGCTCACTCCCCTGTTTGACACCTCCTGGCTCCTTCCCTTTAACTTACACTGCTCTGGTTTCTCCTTGGTCCCTACCAGAGTTCAGTCTCTGAAGTCTGATCCCCTTCCAAAAAGTGGATGGAAGGGTCCCTTAACAGTCTTCTAGAATCTTAATATACCCTCTCGAATTACAGATGGGACAACTGAGGCCAGAAAGGTTATTAAATTTACCCACGGTCCCCAGCAGAGTTAGCTGTTGTGCCAGGAGTAGCCACCACTCCTACATGGCTGCCTGTGTCCCGACACCAGGCAGGAAAAACACAAGAGAAATTCATGTTTGAAGATTTTGGAAATGAAAGCAATTGGAGATAAAGAGAGGAACATGACAGGGGAGATGGAATTCCGGGTCCTTCCATTGGAAAACTTAACAGAACTTCAGCAAAACATTTGCTTTGGTTGGGGGGATGGATACACAGATGCTTTACAAAGGTAGGTTGAAGGTGCCTCTCTCTCTTACCAGTACCAGAAAAATGTAAAATAAAATTTAAAAATTCTGTTTCTATTTAACAGTACATTTGCGAGGCTTTCAAGAATCCCTTTGGAAGGGATTATGTGTAATATACTGTATATTTGAAATTTTATTATCATTTATATTATAGCTATATTTGTTAAATAAATTAATTTTAAGCTACAAGAAATCTCCTTACTGATTTAGTCTCATATTTGAGTTTTATTTCTTGCCATCTCTACACACAAAATGCTTTGCAGTTTGGTGGTAGTTTTACGCTAGCCACTTTCAAAGGTGACAACAGGATATTCAGGAACATGGAAGGGTGTCTTTGAACACATAGGACAGATCTGCTTTAGCAAAGTCAAGTGGAGAATTGAAGCAATTACCTAGGATAATTAGGCTCAATTATCTAATTCACTTTAAGCTGAAATCGACACTTGGTAGGCGACCCATAACCGACTCTTTCTTTTTTCTCTCCTTTTAACCTGTCTATGAAAACAAAGCGAATCACCCAAATGGTTTGATGACTGCAGACAGCTAATCCAGACAATTCCCACTCCCGCAAACCTGTTTTTCCCACAGGAGGCCAGGTGGGGGATAGAGGAATTGCTATGCTTCTCTAGATCTGCAACGCTGCACCAACGGTGTAGACACGGTTTGTGGAACTAATTTTGTGCTGTCAGAAAGTGAGTGCCTTCACCACCCCCACCCCCATCCCCACTCCCCCAAAACTACTGGAAACCCAGTGCGACAATCCACTCTCCGCCTTGGCCGTCCTTTGCATTAGCCCTGCCTCCAAACTCTCACAAACGTGGTTTTTCTTTCTTACGGTAGGTTAAATTCATGCTTCCATGAATTTGGAATACATTTGAATGAGCGCCAAGTTTAGCCTTCTGGGGGCAATTCTGCAAGGATGTTGAAGGCAGAAAACGAGTTTTTAGTAGTCTACTATGATCCAGGCGCCTCTCTGTTCTCTTTCAAGCTGGGGGCACTGGCTTAATTTTCACCAGATCTGCGGCACATATCTACTCCAGCCCTCTGTTCCTCAGTGTCCAGCTCCTCCGAACTCCATTCAAGACAGCGGCGGGCAGGCTTTTGCCGTGAGCAGTTAAGACCAGCCAGCAGACCAGGGGTTGTTAGAACCTGGCATCGGACCTGGGGAGGGTGGACATCTCCATAGACAGAGACCATCGCGCAGTGTGGAAACAGAGTTTCTAGCTTAGGGGCCAGAGGTTTGACGAGGAATTTCAAGAAAGCGCAGGGCTGTGCGCAAGCACCCTGGGCAGGCTCTGAGCTGGAGCCGGCTAGCTCCTGGGTACCGGGGTGTTGTATCCATCAGCCTCGGTAGCTCCAGCAAAGGTTCGGTCCCGAGGCTGGGGCTGCAGTCTGAACCTGTCACAGCTCCCCTCTCTAAGAGCAGAAAGAAAGCACTCTGAGGAGGCCAGTTCCGCAGCACCAGTTTGGGGGACCTCCCAGCCTCGGAGCTTCCAGAACCTGAACCCTGGCTTCTTGGTCCCCAAGGGAGGGGTTACAGCTAAAGCTCTCAGTCTCATCCACCTCTTAAAGGCCCTTGAGCGTGGAGGTATATCCTACTTCCTGCTGACGCAGAAAGCGCTCCCCAACCCCCATGAACTAAGCAGCCCCAGTGTCAGAGCTCAGGACACCCAGGCTACCGCAAGGACTCCCGCTTTCTTACTGGAACCCTCGTGGTGACCCTCCTGTCCTCAGGATAGTATTGAACTCAAAGTCACACACGCCGAGGTGGTTTTCCCAGCTCTGCCACTTTCTGACTGCCTGGCTTAGGGTAGGAAAGATCACACTGTCTCCATGTTCCTCAGTTTTCTCATCTACGAAATGGGCCTGGGAATCCTACCCCCACCCACCGCCCTGGGATTTGGGTGAAATGTCAAGGACCTCGCGTGGGAGGGCGAATACTGGGTGGATCTGAATTTTCTCAGTTCACTGTGCGTCTGCAACTTTGGAGTTTTCACGCGTGCGAGACAGTGGAATGGCGGGGCAGGATCGGGTGTCTCCTCCCGCCGGGGCCTCCGGGCCTCCTGGCTCCTCGAAGCTTGACAATTTGGGGTCTACGCAAATTTAGAGCAACATAATTGCAGTAATGAGCAACGGCTCGCGCTCCGCAGCCACGCGGAGGCTCCAGCTAGGCAGTCGCTGCAGGCGAGGTGTGCGCGCCCCTTCCCCAGCTCAGCTCTTCTGCTGACTGGGAGGGGCGCCGCCCTGGGATCCCCCGCGTGCCGCATCCCGCGTGTGCCTCCGCGCGGGTTGCTGGCCCTGGGTTCGGGTTTCCTTCCATTTCTATGCCCCCACTTTTTTTCTTTCGTTAGGACATTTCTTTGCACCGGCGCTTTCCCCTCCCTTTTGGTTTTTGAATTCTCTCTCTCGACAAGGCACGCACACAGAAGGTGCCCAATAAATGTTTGCTGGATCGGGGTGGCGAGCTGGTGTAAGGTGAGGACTGTGAGGCCGATTCAGCTGGTCAGGCGGGAATTGGCTGGGGGCTCCGGGGCACTGCTTCTCCTCCAGCACAGTCTTTCCAAGTCAGTTGCTTGTTTATCAAGCGAGGGCCCAGTGGGCAGGGGGTTCCCAGGCCTGGTACTTAACGGATCAATTTCCTTCTTTGGTAGGGAACACCGGATCAATCACGTCGCCACCTACCGCGCTGGTAGTTCCAGCGCAGGCCACCTTCCCCACGCCTCCCAAGAACCCTAAAAGATTTTTTTACAGGGTTGAGGACAGCGGACCAGGGAGGTTAAGTGATTTTCCCAGTCACACAGCCAATAAGGGACAGAGCAGAGTCCTAACACAAATTTCACTGCGGGATCCAGGCTTTCTGAGCGCATTGCCCAGCTGCCTCTCCTTGGAGGTTACAAAGGGCCTGACTGGCCACCAAGGTGTAGCATGGTTGCTGGAAAACCAGCGAACCCTGGTCCCAGTTCTACGAATTTAGCTCCTCCGTGCCCTGACCATGAGCAAGTGCCGTCCCTCGGGGAGAAAGAGGGGCATCTCACTCGCCCTGCAAACCGACTGTGAAGGCAATTTTCGTTTGGTTGGGAGGAGACGGAAGCCTTAGTCTGCTGACCGCGCTGGCAGGATCAGAGGCCGGCGGTCCGCGGCGTGGAGGCCCCAGCAGGAAAGAGATTGCCCGGCAGCATGGGACCTGGGGCGCTTCTAGCTCTGGGGGTGAGTCGCGGGGACCCGGACGGACGGGGATCAGCGAGGCTGGGATTGGTCTGGAGAGTTAGGGGTGAGAGCGCCCTGTTTTAGTGCTCATTTCTCCGTTCGCTGACCTCTGGGCTTACGGCCCGTGTCGCTCAGCGGGCCCAAAAGTAGACAGTACTTAGGAGGCAGGGACCTCGGTGCGAATCTTCCGGCTGTTAGGCTGGCTCGGGCCCCACACCGAAAGATCTCCCCCCTCAGTGACCCGCGGCCCGGAGGTGGGCCCGGCCTGCGCCCCGCCTGGAGCCCTCGGGGGCGCAATGGGAAGCGGCGAGGAGAGGCTGCGGCCGCCTTTCAACTTGGCGGCTGGCGCCGGCCTGGCCGGGCCCCCGGGGCCGTGCGGCCTCCCCGGCTCCGTCCCCGCCCTCCCAGCCGCTCGCACCGCGGCACAGCCCGGACACTCCCCCAGACAGGCAGACAGCAGCACCTTAGCTTGCTGCCCCCACCCCAACCCCAACCGTCCATTCTCCAGAGCACCCTTAAGTCCCCACTCCACAATCTCGGATTTCCTTCAGCCCTCGACAACTCCCACTCCCGCCACGCTCCGCAGCCCCAGCTCCAGGCCTAGGAGCACCCTTTCCGGGCATGGGCCTGCCTCCTCCACAGCGCCCTCCAGCGGCCTTGCGGGCCACAGTCCCTGCTTCCGCAACCCCCGCTCTGCACAGCCCCTGCTCTGCACAGCCCCTGCTCTCCGCAGCCCCTGCTCCCCGCAGCCCCTGTTCTCCGCAGCTCCTGCTCTCCGCAGCCCCTAGCAGCAGCGCAGTGCAAGACGCCGGACCAGGCTCGCTTTGTAACAGAGAGGGCGTCTGCGCGCGCTCACATCCACACACACGACCAACACACATCATGAATGCATACACAACACACCCGCATACACAGCAACAAACACACATCTGACACACACAACGGCAATGCACGCAATGCACATACAACACACAGCCCCCAACTCAGAAACCCAGCACACATCACAACCCATACACACCCAGCACACACAGCGAACCGATACACATACCTAAACTGCACCTCCCAAACATCTGCAGTGCCGCACGCACAGCACGCATACACGCCCCCAGCACACCGACCGCACACACCCAACATAAACTGCACACGCTCCATCAACACAAACCTAACGTACACACCCAGCCGACGCCCAACACCTGCAATCAACACACACATCCCACTGAACACAGCCCCAGTCCATGGAGGCAGACAGACCCTCTCCAGGCCGCCATCTCCCACGTCCCTGCAGTTCTGCCATCTGCAACCTGATGACACTGCAGACACACATGGTTTTGGGGGCCGGGGAGGAGTCTCAGAGATAGACATTGGCTGGAAGGAGATGAACCCTGAGAAATGATATGCTGAGAGATGCCCTGTTGCAGCAGGGAGCTCCAGGCAGAAGCCAAGTGAAGCCACTCAAAGCCACTCGGAGGCTGCGCCGCACAGCTCCACGCGGGAGCGAGATGCGCAGCTCAGAGCACAGCGGGCCCTGGCGAGGGGAGCGCGCTGAGTGGGGGAGGACGGGGCGTGTGTGGAATGGGGCTCCCGCGCGCGCGTGCGTGGAGTCGATCCCAAGACGCAGAGCGTTTATCAGGAGGCATCGAGAGTCACCCGACCGAACGCCGGGAACTCCCTTCCAAGAACCCCGCGGTGTCTTCAGCTCCTCGGCCTCCGCCTGGGGCTCCTCCTCTGGGAGTCCCCCACCACCATCTCACACACCAACGTCTCCTGTTTCCCCAGAGAGTCTGGGAATGCCTTTCCAGGCATCAGATCCCACATCCTACTCGTGCTCCGCTGACCCCAGGCCAAGATCTGGAATGTCCATTGGGCCCCCGGCGCCCAGTCCACCCCCACCCCTGACGGAGAAGGCGGTGCTTAGAGAAGCAGCCAGACTTCTGTCGGTTAGGACTACAGAGGGTCGCTCGCTGGAGTCACACTGTCTGGTCGTACGAATCTCGGTTTTGGTACCTTCTAGCTGTGTGACTTGAGGCAAGTAACCTCTCTGAGTCTCACGGTCCCCCTATATAAAAATGTGGAACCGTAGTAACGATCTCCTCGTAATATTGTGGGTATAAAATGAATGTACCCTGAGATGCTTGACCCTTGAAGCAGTGAACATTGATTATGGATACTTAAACAAATTTCAAAGTGTGTGTGTGTGTGTTCCTGTACCTCATTGCAGGTTACAAAAGACGATCAGGGCCACGACTCAAACAACGGATGGAATCCAGGTTTCTGTCTCTCTGAGCGGTGATCTCTAGAACTTTCCTGCGTTTTGCAGAGACTTTGGGATCTGCTCCTAATGCCCCGCTGGCAGGGCCCAGAGCACCGCCGCGGAGGTGCAGTAAGACGTGTCTTTGGGGGTAGTTAAACGAGAATTCCATGGCCTGTTCTTAATTCAGCACCTTATTGGGGTCAGGTGGAAGGAAGAGCGCCCAGAGCGAAGACTGAGGCCGGCCTGCGGAGCAGCCCCGCGCGGTGGCCTTTGCTGCCCATTTTACAGGCCAGGAGACTGTGGTTCCAGGAGGATGGATCCCAGGCCACCGCTGTGACACCGCAGGGGCTGCCTTTTCCCTGTGGGTGGGGAGCGGGTCTTGACAGACGCGGGGCTGCGGGCTGGCTGCATTGTCCACGTTTATCGCGAGCTGCGTGGGTGGGGTCGGTGCGACCTCCAAGCCCTCCTTGCACTGGGCCAATTACGTCTCTCACCCTCCAGGCACCTTCCGGATTCCCTGTGGAGACCTGCCCCTTTACTGCTGCTCAGAGGAGCTGCTCTGTGCAAGCTGCCTCCGGCTCTGTGATGCTACTTTAAAAGAGATACCGTATTTTCTCCCCGATGACCCTACTCGATCCCCCAGGGGCAGCGGGAGCTTCTCCACGGAGACACGGCCGGGCGGCGTCAGGGCCATACCGAATTTGAAGCGAATGTTCGGGGTGGGGCTGAGTGACCCACCTCTCGAGTTCTCTGGGACTCGGAATCTACTTCTGTTCAGTGACCTAAGGACACCTAGCAGGGTTCCGGAGAGAGAAAGGGAAGGGGCTTATCCCACCCCATCCATCTGTTACATCACCTGCCTTCCCAGCTAGGGGAGGAGAACCACACCTGACCTGTGCCCCTGATGTGACAGCAGGTGACACATATTGAGCCCTTACACTCCAGCACCAGTTCAAGTACTCCACCCGGCTTATCCCCAGTGAATCCTCACCACCCGGCAGGCACCCACCTCTGGTACCCCACTTCAGACATGGAGAGAATTGTTGAGTGACTCAGGCAAAATCACAGCTAGTGAGAGCGGAAGCAGAGCTCCTGACCCAAGCTGACTCTGCTGGGCGGCCTCCCTTCCCCTTGCTTCTCTGAGACTCAGTTTCTTTGTGCATAGAATGGAGTCACTTACAGGCTGGTGTGGGGGAAGCTGTGGGTGACTCCAACTAGAACACCCCTTGGGAACTCGAGAGCACAGGGGCAGGATGGCCACCAGTGGCTCTTCAATGATGGCCTCGGAGGCCCTCTCTCGCTGCTTGGAAGCTGGGATGTTCGGATCTCTAGAGGATGGGGGGCTGGGAGTGCAAGGCTGGAAGGGTGGTCTTGTCCTTGGATGGTGACAGGAAAGATGGGAGACTACCACTGTGAACCCAGAAGTAGAAGAGATCCCTCCTTTAATCTTCTCCCTATGACACAGGGACTCTCATTAACTTGTATCACAGGTGAGGAAACCAAGGAACAGAGAGGGTAAGTGACTTGTCAAAGGTCACACAGGTGTCTAAGATGGAATTTGTGTTCTCTGCACTGCAGCTGCCCCTGGCATGAATGCAGAAACTCAACCAAATGCTGAGGAGGCAAATCGGAAGCACTGACACCCAGGTGCCAGGACTTGGCAGAATTCCCCTCCAGCCACAGTCAAGATTGACCAGGTCGCCTTGCTCTGGGTGATTGGGTCTTCCCTAAATCCATGCAAGACTTTGAGAAACAGTTCTGGATGCCGCCTTAGTTTTTTTGTGTGCCATTGTCAACAATGGGGGGTCAATGTCCTCATTTAGATATGAGAAACTGAGGCTTGAGGGCAGTAAGATTTGGCCAAGGTTACTCAGAAGTCTGGGCAGAGCCCCAAACCCCGATTTTAGCCCCATGTTCTTTCATTAATTCATTCAGAGGCATTGAATAAGATTGACACACTAATATAAATACAAATTTCAGCAAGAGATGAATGCTTGGAAAGGGGAAGCACAGTAGAATGGTCAAGGCGGACCTCCGGGGTAGCAGCTCGTGAGCTGGCACTGAAGGGGGAGGGGAGGGACTTCCAAGAAGACTCAGGCAAGAGCCTCCCATGGAGAGGGACCGGCAGTTGCAAAGGCCAGAAGCAAGCAGGTGGGAACTGGCCTCAGGTGAGTTTAGAGCAGGCCCCCTACAGCAGTTTCTGGAGCTCAGGTGCCCTTAATGAGGAGAATTGGGGAGGAGAGTAGGAGAGGCTGAGAGCTTCGGTAGGAAGGGACGTGACAGCACCCTGGACCAGAGTGGCCACCAGAGAGGTTTGAAGGTGTATACAAGAGGCTTTCTAGAGAAGCTGCCCTCACCTCTAGGGAGGACCCAGCTCCTAGCGATATTTTTCTTCCTTCCTGCACTATTTCGGATTAGAGACTCCGTTCTCTGGTCCCCCACTCCCGCCCTCGATTCCCGGTACTCGCTTGGGTAGCCCTGCAGCCTGCTGGGACTCAGCTGTGGGGCGTAGTGTGCAGCAGGCTTCAATTCTTGAGCCCAGTTCATCTGTCATCTCCTCTCCTCCTGCGAGTTATCTGAAGGCAGTCTACGGTTTGATAGATTTTTATTTTTTATGCCAGTGCCCAGTATGTTCCATGTGGGGGAAGTGAGGTCCTGTCCTCCACCTGCAGCCAGGCAGTCCACGGGCTAAAGGAGGGCTTGCCAGGTGCCTAGCACGCACTCACTTAATCCACGACACCGCCTTTAAAGGAAGATACTCACTGTTCCCCTTTCACAGAAGGGGCAGCTGCGGTCGAGATGTCAACTGACACACCCAAGGTCACCTAGGGGCTTCTGGGCAAATCCTCAGAAACCTAGACTCCTGACCCTGAGCCCTGCTTCTGCCGCTACGCTCACGGGTCTCCAAGAAGAGGTGAAAAAGGTGGGGGCTGAGCTGGAAACATCACCACACTGGGATGCAGGGGGTTGCCACGGTAACCTACCCAGCGCTGTTTCTGCTTCTCTTAAACCTCCTGTGAGACACTGGGCATCCAGGTGCGGAGATCGAGGCTCCTCCTGTCTGCAAAGTGGGCTGCTCGGGCTCGGGTCGGGGACTAGGCTAAGGGCTCGCGTGGCAGGGACCGCAGCACCCCCCAGGCCTAGTAAATGCTGCCAGGTTCGTGACGAGGACTTGGGGCAAGTGCAGCCGGCTCACCTCGCTGTATGGAGCAGGAGTAACGCTGACGCCCTGGTCTTGATTTCCAGAAGGCAGGCCCTGGACTGGGGAAGGAGGGAGCAGGACTTTAGGACCCTGAAAGGGCTTTCTTCTTGCTCGTCTTTCATCCCTCCCCCCAATTTCTTTTCTTCCCTCTTTCATTTATGATTAATATAATTTCCTATGTTAGAAGGTATAAAGTGGCAGGCAGGGTTTGGGCCACTTGTTCATTTAAGAAATGTTTATTGTTTCAGGCTGGCCGTGTGAGGTGCTGGGGACAGAGCTGTGACAAGACACAGTGTCTCTGAGGGACACTAAGAATGCATTGAAAAATAATGCCCCCCAGCCATGTTGTCGATAAAACAAACGGTGTGACCAGATGGAGGCTCCCTGAGGAGCGGACATAGAGGAGATCTGATGCAATAAAAGACATCCAGGCTGAGGGACCAGCAGATGCAAAGGGTCCAGTCAGTGGTGTGGGTAGAATTGCAGGGCTGTGACCATCCTTCAGCCATGGAAAGACCCTGGCATGATGTGTCTTGATAAAGGACATCTCTGCTTTGAAACTGATCCACAAATCTAATCTCAGATCTCCTTCATCTAGCAGGCAACTGGGGCAGGTGACCACTGAGGGAACTGAGGCCCAGTGTCCTGCATGGTCACTCGGTGGGTGAGAGGATAAGTCGGGTGAGAAGGCAGGTCAGGGTCACTCCATGACACCCCTGCTGATTTTAGATGAACTGCTTTCAGGGCAGTACTTTGATCTATGCCTACATCTTACCAGCACATCCCTTTAAGGAGGGATAAGGCCAGAGATTTGAATCGGCCACAAGGAATGTTCCAGCACTGGCTGGAAGCAGCAGAGCATGGGGACAGATGTGGATGTCACTGTCTTCTTGAGAGAGGCTCTTGGAAAGGGTTAGGGAGTGTTGGTTTCTGAAGGTCTACAATTTGGAGGTACTCATCCATCTTGGAGGGTCTGCATTTTCCCACATGAAATCTTTTCCTGAAGTTGGTTGAGTCCTTGTTTCCATTTGGGAGGGTGCCTGCTTCCGTCCTCCACCTGCAGCCAGGCACTCCCGTACAGCACCCTGGCCAGGCTTAGCAGGATTGAGAGGGGCTCTGAAGTTTCCTGGGTGAAGCCTGCCCCCACCTGGTGAGCTGCAGGGCCCATTCTTATTTTATTCTCCTTATGCTGGGCTGGCTTCGTGGGCCTGTGACCAGAGCAGGCACCCAGGGACCTGCTCAGAAGGGCTCCATGCTTGGAATTTAATGTAGCAGTCACCACCATCTTGAAGTTCTTAGTAAAGGAAGTTATTTGAATGAGTGTAAAATAAATGATGTCAGACATCCTGGGGCTTGAACCTGCCTCCAGGTGCCCCCCTGGGACTGTTTTCAGCAGCACGCCCCTGCTTTCTGGTGGGTTAGGACTGGACGCTGCCTCCCCATGGTTTCTCAAGGTGGAGCATGGCAGCGGCATGTGTTCAGTAGGCACCTCAGGGGGTGAGGCTCTTGCCCATCCTCAATGCAGGTGCCTCATAAATCCCAGCACAGAGACTGTAACACCCTTGGGGTCACCCATCTGCTCTGGGTTGGGGCAGTGGGTCTAAGGGCAGCAGGGGTACCTGACTCAACTTCTCCACCTCTGGTTAGACCTGGTGGCTGGTGCTGTGTGCTTGCAT